TCTCTCTCTCTCTCTCTCTCTCTCTCTCTCTCTCTCTCTCTCTCTCTCTCTCTCCTCCCTCCCTCCCTCCCTCTTTCCTTCTTTCTCTTTGTTGTTTTTTGAGACAGGGGTTTTCTGTGTAGCCCTGGCAGTCCTGGAACTTGATCTGTAGAGCTGGCTTTCCTCAAACTCAGAAATTCACCTGCCTCTGCCCCCTCACCCTCGGGCTATAATTAAAGACATCCACCACCACTGCCTGGTTAAAGAACATGTAGCCCGGCTTTCCTGGAACTCACTCTGTATACCAAGCTGACTTCAAACTCAGAGGCCCACCTTTCTCTCCAAGTGTCTTCTCTGTGAGCTACAGACTCAGGGCATAGAGTAAGCGCTCAGTAAACAGAGTCGATCAATTTCCCGACTGTGTTGGAGAGAATCTAGCCTTGGCTTGTCCTGCAGTGGTCCAGCCCCCACTCCAGCCTTCTAAAGGGAAAGAGCACTCACCCAAACATTGTCACTCCATGCTGATTACTTATTCAGCCCTTGTGACCTTAGCCCCAAGCAGGGTTCCAGTGATCACACCTGCCATTCAAATCTACTCCTCCAATGCCCTAGTCTCTCCACTGCTTGCTTGACCAACAGGAGGAAGGTAGGGGACACACAGAGGAAAAGAGCCTGGTTCTTGTTCCCGCACCCTCTGCTAGCCACTGTATACCCACCGTGGGTCTGGCACGGTGTCAGGTATGCAGTAGAGACAAGCACAGCCATCTATAACCACATGTGTTTGTGTGCCTCAAGCAGCTGCACCAGTTCAGAAGCGGAAACCTTTTTGGCTCTTTTGTGTAGTTCTCCCCTCACTAATTTGTTTTTGTGTGTGCACGTGTGTGTATCCTGTCTCTGTCCACCCGGGAAGCCTTTGGAGTGTTTTATCGGGCAATACCAAGAAGGAGTTCAGCCCATTAGGCTGAGTTCCACTGCATCAGGAAAGCGTCCAGGACAGAAGCAATGCTGTCACTTCTCCCCTCATCTCAGAATTCCACCCCACACTTGGGGGACGGCATTACGTGCAAGGCCATATACAACGTATGAAGCCAGGAAGGGAGCAACCGAGCGCTTGGTTCAGATCCCACGAGTTCACAGCCAGCCCTCACTTGGCTGCAGATACAGGGTAGCTAACACTCAGGCTTCAGCTGGAACTGTATCCAGCAGTGGCCCAGCAGCAATGACTTATTAACATATTACTACACTGATATTTAAATGTGAGCCGTAATGAGAGCTATAAAACATTTACGATAATAGCAATTATTCCAGAACCCGAATGGCTAAACACAGTATCCACAGTCTCATGATTTGCTGCTTGGGGTTGCCTGGCCCGGGGATGTCAGAAGGTTGCTAACCTCTCAGACACTGATTGCCCTGGAAGCTGCAGTGGCTGTTTTGCGAAGAAACACAGATTCGCTTGATTTCTCGTCTTGGCAGCTTTGGCTCAGGGAGGGAACACCGCACTCTGTTTGGCTTTTAGGTCCTGCCTAAGCATCTGGCATTCAATGAGAGAGTTGGCAGGAGGTTCCCAGTGCAGAGGGGGCAGCCCTGGTGGGCATGGGCCGCAAAGGCAGAGCCCTCGTTAGAGTCTGGCTCTGTCGGTTATAGCCCACGTCACTGTGGGTAGCTTTCTGAATCTCATTACCTTTCTCCTTTGCAACACAGGGGTAATCATAATGATCTCACAGAGTTCGGGCAGCGACTAACCAAGATGACATCCATCCCCGATATTAATCATGAGGTCCTTATACTGAGGTAGGCTCTGGGTTATGGCTCTGTATCCTACCATTCAATCTTTCTCATTAAGGGGTGGAAAGGTGACTCAGTGGGTAAAGTGTTGGCCCTGCAACCGTGAGAACCTGAGAGTGACACCCAGTACTCACATCAATTCTTCCAATAACCCTACGGAAGCAAGGGGTGGGGTCAAGACTTGAATCCAAGCAAGTGTGACCTCAGGAATGAGACCTGTATAGGCTCCTCTTGCTCCTATAGCAGATGACCATGACTCTTTGGTGGCATGATTTTTTTTCTCCAACAGTTCAGAGGTCCCAAATCTAAAATGGCTTCACGGGAATGTACTTCTCAGGAGTCTTTGGGGGGTGGAGCTTTGTTTCCTCCCTACTGTAGCTTGAAGGGTTGTCTACATTCCTTGATCCATGCCCCCTTCCCTGCGGCACTCCAACCTCTAAGGATCTCACGATGACTGCCTACTATCCCTTTTAAGGAACCTTGTGATTACAGAATGTATCTGCTCACAGGATCATTAATGTGGTCCTATTTTTAAAGGCCTCTTGGATCACTTAGTGTGACATCCACAGCCTCCTGGGTTAAGGATGTAGGGATCTTTAAGAGCCATGACCTGACCAACCACCAATTCCTTGAAACAAGGTATATAAAGCACCTAGAATGGATCAGGTTCTGAACTGACTTTCAATAACTGTCACTGTTGTCTGTGACTAGCCCTTTCTTCTGTGGCTTCCCAGAGTCTCACCTAAGAAAGTTAGCACTTGGAGGTCAGGATTATTACCCTAATTCTAGAGATGAGCAGTCAGAGGCCGGGAGAGGCCGGGGGTCCTACAGGGGCAGCACGCTGGCTGCTGGTGAATTCTGAACTGGCTGTTCTTTCTTCCCATCTCATTTCCCTGACTCACCCGCTGCCTTTTGCTTTTAGGCAAGGTGGCCTCTGCAATACAGCTCCTATCTTGTCACATCTCCTCTGGACCCGAAGCTAGGAAATCTGCATAAGCCTCCTGTCATCCCTTGTTTTATAAGCCTTAGCAGCAGAAAACAAAAGGCTCCCTCTGCCAGTGCCACTGTCCTGTTCCCTACAGTGGTTAGCCTGCCTGTGCTGCAGCAGCGACCTTGTCAACTTCATGTATTTACCTCCAACCCCTGGAGAAGCCATGCTGGTTCTGGGTCTACCTTCAGTCCCCTCGCCTTGCTCTTCTGAAGCTATGTGGAGGAAAGGTGCTTCTCCCAAATTATCCAGGTAAGACTGGAGGTTTTGCCCCTACAGGAAATACTATGAATTCAGCATTTTCCTTTAGGTTTCAAGCTCAAATCTGGGATTACATTCAATTCTGTTCATTTCTTTTTTAATTTAAATTTTATGTGTGTGTGGGGCTGTTCTGCCTGTATGTAAAGTCTCTGTGTCACTTGCATGCCTGGTGCCTGTGGAGACAAGAAGAAGGTGTTGGGGTCCCTGGAACTGCAGTTAGAGTGGGTCGTGAGCCACCATGCGGTTCCTGGGAATTGAACCCAGATCCTCTGGTAAAGCAGTCAGCACTCATATCGTTTTTGACAATATTTGGCTAACTTCAGGAATATCTGGCCTGCCCCATTTTCCAGCCACCCCAAAGGACACTTGATTCTGGAAGGACACTTCAATTTGAACCCTTTTGGGGACATCTTCCTTCCTCACAGTGTTGAAATGACAGTCTGAATCTCTCCTCTTAAATCCTTGCCACATTATAAATACTGTCTTCAATACTGAGGTGAGCTGACCTGAATACCAGTCCAGTGGCCCTGAGATTCTTTCATACCAG